AGTTTCCTTTTTATTTTTTTTATGGATTTATACACTTAAAATTAGGGGTGGGCATGGGTCAGGTACCCGCCCCTAACACGATTTGGCTAACCCGACCCTAATATATCGGATCAGCCATTTTGCAACCCTGACCCGCTCCTAATGTTTTCGGGTACCTGAAAAAAAAGGACTGGTCATAGGGTACCCGCCCCTAAAAAAAAAACTATTTTCCAACAAAAAAATGTTTTTCACTTAATCTTAACATGCGGGTACCCGAGAAAAAGGGGTTGGTCATAGGGTACCCGCCCCTAAAAAAAAAACTATTTTCCAACAAAAAAAGTTTTTCACTTAATATCAACATGCTTTCCAATAAAAAAAATACTTTCCAATTAACATTGGTAGAGATATTATAATCAAAATCCATACATCACCATTCTCACACATTTCATCCAATAATCAAACCGATTTCATAAATTTAGTACATATTAGAATTATAATATCTAATAGATAAAACGAAGTTTTATGATAATTTTGAGTACATCACCATTCTCACGCATTTTATTCTTCTACAACATAATAAACACAAGGATAATAAGTATTTGGCAAGTTTTCCAACTTCCTTAAGGATGTTATGGTACAAGATTGCATCCAAAATGAGTCGATTGTGGAATCAAGTCCGGAAAAGAATTGAACAGAGCTAATAATTTTTGGAGAAAGTATAACCAAAATAATCTTGAAAAATTTTCCCCAACTTTCTTACATCTTTGGAATAGACCTTATTACATTAAAGGTGATGAAAAAGAAAAATAAATTTCTTGCACTAAAATAAAGGAAACAAATTTAAGAGACACAATTGCAATAAAATAAATAAATAAATGAAAGATACAAATGTTTTAATTATCTAGCTAACAGAAAATTGGAGCTCCAAACACAAATTTTTGATTGAATTGATGAAAAATTTGCAGAAAAGATCGATGGAGGTAGAATAAAAATGAAAAAGGATGAAAGGGATGAACAATTTTTATGATAGAGTTTCACAAATTTTTCTTTGTTTTGTTCATTTGGTTCGGATTTCATCAAGAATATTTGCTTTTTTTAGATAAGATGAGAAGAGGCGGATCATATGAGGTTAGAATATTAGGCTATGAACCACTTTACTTACACTTAGGATTAAAAATTATGTAATTATATAATGAACCCTTATTTTTTAATATTTATATAATATACCCTGCGGGTCTGGTACCCTCGGGTTTTTATTTTGCTGATCTGTATCCGTATCCGTTTTTGCTGGTACCCGCATCTGATAGGGTGTTAATTGTTAGTAATTTTATTGTTAATTTTCCCTTTTATTCTTGCCAAATATTATTTTAATTATTAATATTTACTTATATTTGGTATTGAGACTTAATTTCAGGAACAAAGCAGAAAATTACCAAAAAGGAGGGACTTTTATGGAAAAATGGAGACTTCTAAGGACCTTGGACTCTTGAATTGGTGGGGACCACAAGCTAGTGAAAGGCATTTAGTCATTTTGGCCTTTCAAGAAAGCAACGTAGAGAGACTTGGACCAAGAAATAATTTGGAGGCCACATGTGTGGGGACCACAGGAAATAGCTTTTAGGCTTCTTTCTTTTGGCTTTTTAAGGGAAGACGTACAGAAGCAAAAGGAGATCTTCTTTAGACGGCTCTAGTTTAGCTTTTAGGATAGTTTTAGTTTTTCTTTCTTTTTACTGGCCTCTGACACACGCCAGGTGTTTGACAATATTCCCCAACGGAAAAAACACCATTTATCCCTTGTTTTTTGGTTAAAAACCGCAATGCCTTTGTAATCTATTAACTCGTGTGGTGATTTAATTATGCGGCATGGTTAAGCCTTCCTTCTAGCCAAGGGGACAACTGACGATTTGGTTCGACAATTACTGTGAGATCGAATCTGTTTTAATTATCTTCTTCATTTATTGGTATTTATATGTTCCTTGATTTTAATTGCTATAGTCTTGTGTATGATTGATTAGTGCGCAATAATTAATTATTCATATAGGCTAATCTTGCTAAATAGGGGTAATTGAATCCGTAATTGTTCGTTATCTCTATCTCAGTAGCAACTGGCGTAATTGGGTTTATGTCAGGGGAGTATACGATCTAACTTAAACAAACCCTCGTAGCGTGTTTGTTAGTTAGGATTGGGCCTTTCTAATTATTAATGCAATCTAGAAATTAAATCCTACAGTCGTACCTAGGGTTGTTTTTGGGTTAGAGAAATAGCTAACGGTCGTACCTTAGCTATCGATAAATTAAGGAAGGGTTGGTTGTTTAGCGCGTGCGAGACAACTATAACCAATCTATTAATAAATGTTGGAATTATCTGTGATTCGATGATCAGTTGCATGAACCATTTCTGAAGTATACCCTTGGCTAGAGTTTCTCTTAGTTATTTCTTTTAATTAATTATTTTCTGCATTTAATTTGTTTAGCCATTAATCTTGATTTGAAAAGAAACAAAATATCTTGCTAGTCCCTGAGGAGACGACCCTGCTTACCACTGTCTACTAGCTAGGGAATTCAGTTAAATAATTAATTCAGGTATATCGGATTAAGCAAACTCTTCGGGAACAGGGTGAATCAAGTAACCCATTGCACACCTAGAGTCCCTGCTCCAGTACTCGAATTGATTACTGACTGTTTCAGGTGGTAGTTAGGATTTATTTATTTATTTATTATTATTGCACAGGTTCGGCACCTGTCAGCATCTGCCCCGCTAAAAAAAATCAGATCGGATATTCTATTTTTCGGATCGGGTTCGTCGGATTTCGGATCGGATCAGATCGGATTTTTTGCCCACCCTTACTTAAAATTCGAGAACTGGGAGCAAAAATACCCAATTTCGTCCGGAATGGCATATGTCCACTTTTAGATCTTCAATAATCCATAATGACAAATCCATACCTACAAGTACCAACCAAACATTATGCAAAGAGATTTGACAACTTAAAAACCCATTTCATAGTGGTGATTCCTCGAACTAAACAGGTTGTTAATGTAGTCGTGAGCACTGTTTTGAAACTCGGACCGGACCGGCCGGTCGAACCGAGAACCGGCCAGGTAGTCGGTCCGAGTCATATTAAAAAACCAAAAATTTAAAACCCGGTCAAAGCCGGTCAAAAACCGGGTTTGACCGGGCAAAAACCGGTTTTTCCGGTTCAACAATAATTTTTTTTAAAAAAAATTTAAACTTTTTAATATTATGTTTTGACCCCCTAAATTGTTAAAACTTATTGATATACCTCAAATATTTGATACTTTATAAATATTGTCCTAAAATTTGATGTTATTTTTCAATTAAATTCATAATTTTAATTCTAAACTTGTTAATATTTATTAAATAATATAAATTGCTACTTGATTGTTCTAATTTCTTTGTATTTTCTTGTTAAATATATTTGAAACATCAAATATATATGAATATATCTTTATTAATATCAATATATTATTAGATATTATATATATAATATTTTAATTTTTAAATAATTTTTATTTATGACGTCATCCGGTTCGACTCCTATCGACCCCCGGTTGAACCCATTGACCCCTGATCCCTGATCTCGGCCGAGTCGCTATCCGGTCCGGTTCTGAAAACATAGGTCGTGAGAGATAGTTAAGCAACCTGTGTCTAAGATATTCTTTATAATTTATTTCATTTGAGAGACTTTATATATATAAATTTTATTAAAATATGGATAAAATGTAATTGCACATCGTCTATTATTTCCTTTCTTTGTAAAATTTTAAAAGTGTTAAGTGACATTAGAAGAAATCTCTGACATAATTAATTTATTTTATTTTTTTATCATAATAATAATATTTGTATAATCTACTTTAACTTAGTTTAGGTGGAAAAGTTTTTAATCGATAGATTTTTTATCAGAAAAAATCACTCGAAAGTACAATCATAATTAAACGACAAGTATAGGGTGAGAAGTAATCATTGAAATTTGGCTTCCTGCCCCGTCACTTTCGGTGGTATCTGGAGGCCCGTCATTTATTCTTCCAGCCGACACATTCCATTTTGCTTCAATGCACATGTGCGTCGGCCTTCCCCCCCTGAATCAACGAGCATGCGCTATACTGCCAGGCATTTATGACCATCACTCGTCCCGTACGGACCTCGTTCCTTCATGATTTCATCCTGCTTCCTACGGCAGCAACAATTGATGCATTCCTACCATAAAAAGGGTCCAGTTGGGGACAAACAATTGCTCAGGACCCCCGAACAATTAATGTCAAAGGTCTTGTCAAGAAGAGGTAAACCAATAATCTGTCACGTGGCATTTTTTTGGCCATATCTCACATACGAAACGGGGCTCGCAAGTTCGATTCCGTACAAGTTGGTCACTTTCACTTTCACCTGGGACCTAAATTTGAGCAATATGTCTTTTCCTATGTAGTGCTGGATTTTGGGCCCTTGCAATGTCGTATCTACTCTATGGTGCAGTTGCTCAGGCAATTGTAGTCTTCTTCTTCTATACGTATGCGAATGCAAAAAATATAATAGAAGGTTTTTTTTCAATAAATTGTTTATCTTTGGTGTTGATATTATTGTGATGATCAATATACTTAGAAGCAAGGAATACAACAGAAAACACTACCAAAAACTCAAAATTCCACCTGACACATTGTGTCGATCTATTGCTATTATTTACTGAAGTTGAAGAGGTTTTGTATCAACTGTAGCCGAAAGCATAAAACGTAGATGGTGTATTAGTTTATGTTCCAAATGAACTAAATCAACCTTATGAATTTTTGGTCGCATTGAAGATTTAGTTAGATACTCCACATGTAAAAATATCCTTGCAAGTAAATAGCATAATTCTACAACATTTTTTGGCATTTGAGATTTGTCACCACTATTAGTCAATCAAACAACAAGGATAATACCCAAAAAATTAAACCAAAAAAGGAAAAAAGAAAAAAAGAAAAAAAATGAAGCAAACAAACAGTCATCTGCATGGCCAGCCTTTAGTTTAGTCCCCACTGACGAAATGACAGATTATCTCCAATAGAGATGTATAAGTTCCAATAATCATCGCGGCAAAGCCCATACACATAATGCCTCCAATGATCAGTACCTGGAAATCACACCTTCGACGAATGCCTGAAATCTTCAAGAAGCACAAGCATGGAAGTATAATTGAACCAGTAACACTTAAAAACGCGCCCACGAATGACATGAGATACCCAAAAATGGGTATGACCAGAGCAACAATGACAGAGCTCAATACCAAGCCAGTTCTGATGAGAAGGCTCGATGACTTTTTCTTGGAACCAGCTGGCAGTCTATTCTCAATAGCATCCACAATTGGTGTTACTATTAGTGCATATTTGGCAATTGGAGTGATCAGAGTGGCGTATATGACAATTTTTGAACTAATTTTGTCACTTGGAAGATTTAAGGTTATTTGGGACCGCACCTCTGAACCAAACATTAGGCAACCTGAAATTGCCATTAGTCCATAGATTAAAGTGCTGAGGAAAAAGCATACCACCAAAACCTGCACCAAAAAATAGGCATATATCAGGAAAGATTATAGTGCTGTATTAATTTCACTTTGCCGTCATGAAGTCTTTGTTTGATACATACGTCGAGTCAATATACTGCCAAAGCATGTGAAAAACAGAAAAGGTAAGTATGTTATCATAATTTTGCATAGTTGTGTTTTTCTCCAAAAACATGTCTGATATTTCGAGGAGAATGTACAAAATTCATCATGGTAACTATTTCTTTTTATTACTATTTCCCTTATTCTGCCCATAACTAATGCACATAATACTCAGGATTTTAACTTCTTTTAAGCGTTAAAGATCAGGTACGATTGCGTCAAAAATGGAAAAGACAGAAGGGCAAGAGATGAATCATAAGATAACTATTTTAGTAGAAAAATTCACCTGATAGTTATCTTATGATTCACCTGATACATATTATCTGTAATTGAATTACATATCAGGTGATACAAGGATTTCTATTTTATTAACTTATGGACTAAATCAACCCAAAAAAAAATAATTTATGCACAAAATATGCGCCAAAAAAAAAAAAGATAAAGAGCTTAAATTGCAATAATCTAGCTCCATTACCTTAGAAAATTGTTTCTGATCTCTCATGGAAGTGTATAGGGTTGGAAAAACTGGATGAGCGCAATAACAGAAAGCATAGAGACTAACGGCAGTGGGGATTCCATTCCAATGTACAAAACTTCCCTTTCCATGAAATCCAATCCCATCAAATTCTCCAATCCACAAAATTGAGCAAAGAAGCACAAGAGATGCAGCTACACCACCAGCTGAGACATATGAAAGAACCCCCATGTTATTCAACCAAACCGTGGGAAGTATTATAAGCCCAACCATGATAACAAAACTTTGTCTTGCATCAATACTGTAACCACCAAGTTCAAATCCCGCTTTTGGAAACAAATATGACAAATTATCTCCTTCAAGAATCAAGAAACCAGTGGCCACCAAGTAAAGTTCCGCATGCATTAAAATGGAGACAAGGGCTCTTCCTTTTGCTCCGAATGCTCGATCACCGATGTCAGGGTAGCTTCTGATTGTGGAATCCATGTCCATGCATCTTTGTATCAATAAGCCAGTGTAGAGGGCTGAGGATGCTATCATTAGCAAAAGGATTAAGCTTATCCATCCTCCAGATGATAATGCATATGGGATTGAGAGTATCCCAACACCTAACAAAGCATTGATTCCATTGAAACAAGTTTTGCAAAATGATGTAGAGGCTAATTTGGAAACATGTCCTTCAGGCTTCAATTCATTGGCTTCATTAGCTAAAAGGGTTTGTTGCTCCAGATCATAATCAACCAGAAGAGGCATGGTAACTGAGTTACAATGATATTCGAGTTTGCGATCCATCAGGGAGACGTGCCGGAAGTTGAAACTTGCTCGCTGAGACTAAGAAGAGTAGTATTTATGTCTGGGAGAATATTTGGTTCCACTTTCATTGTTGCTGTTTTTATTTTATTTTTTTGTATTATGTATTTTGTCAAGGATGACAAATGACAACATTTCTGTCTCTTTCGATCCTAGACTACATGGTAAGACATAATAAAAAGTTTAATATCCCCAAATATATTTCGGTAGAAGCCCTGCAACATGTGCCAATAGGTCTTGTCGTGTATATTTATTAAAATGGTGACTATGTAGTCTATTTATGATTGTGTAGCGGTGGTAATTAATCCCGAGTTTTAATAGGTAAATCATGCTAAAGGGATTTTGCATGGGATTGGTTAAACGGATTTGAACTTTGGAGATCCTTTTGCTTTTGAGAATAAATAAAGGTCAAATCTCCATTTTTTTCCTCAAAACCCAAGAAACCTAGATGTAGCAAGTATTTTTTCAGGTCATACGTTCATACGGTTAATCATACGGTTTCTCAAAACCTAGGTCTTGTTTGGCAGACAAGTTTTTTGTCAAGTTTGTCTGCTACAAGTTTTTTAAAAACTTTAACTACAATAACTTCAAAAAACTTCTCAAAGATTTTAAGCTATACACTTCAAAATATTAAAAAAAAAACACACTTCAAAAATTTTTTTAAAAACTTCGACAGTAAGTTACAGTAAAGTTTTAGACAAACACTCAAAAAACTCACTTGCCAAACGGGCCCGTAGTCATTGCATTCAACTACTATCGCAACAAAGATATTGCCAGCCTAGGAAAAGTAACAAGGATAAAAGATGCTAATCGACAATAAAATTCAAAGGACATATAGTAGTGCATCTTTTGACATAGACGTACAATTCTTTTCCTCTAATTCCCTTAGTTTAATTGAACCCTCTTCTAGTATAAGTAGAATAAGAGTAGAAGTAAAAATTAATGATTGAAAAAATGAAAACCTAAAAGCTCGGTTTTGCTTGACAATTCTACGTTACTTGATCTATTTGAATGCTAACTAACTGAGGTCATAAATGGGGGAATTGAGTCCATTGAAACAAGTTTTGCAAAATGATGTTGAAGCTAATTTGGAAAAATGTCCTTCAGCCTTCAATTCATTGGGTTCATTCGCTGCAAGCATTTGCTGGTCCTAATCATTATCAACCAGGAGAGGCATGGTATTTGAATTACCATGATATTCTAGCTTGTGATCCATCGAGAGGTGTCTCGAAAGTTGAAAGTTCTCACTGAGAACTAAGAAGAGAAGTAGCATTTTTAAGTATAGGAGAATATGTGGTTCCACTGTTATTGTCGCTTGTGTTCATTTTTTATTTTTATTTCTTTTCAGTCTATCCCCAAACTTATGCCATTTGTCAAAGCATGACAAATAACATTTCTATCTCTTTCGATCCTTAAACTTTTAATACATGGTAAGAAATAATAAAAGGTTTAATATCATAATGACTACTTTGGTAGAAACCTTGCAACATTTGTCAGTAGGTCATGTCTTGTAATATTCATCAACGGGGATGGTACTGGTGGGCCGGGGGAGCAATGAGGCCAAGGGAAAATCCAAAACTTATGTCCCTTGACAAGAATGCAAAACTAATGCAAATATGTCATTGTTTCTTTTCATGTAGTAGATTTGTTCGGGCAGTTGATTATTTTTTTAAATATATTTATTTATATCATTATTATAAATTTTAATATATTTTTTATTTTTTTATTATTTTTTTATCTTACATACATCACATCATAAAATAATTAAAAAAAATATTAAAATACTTTATACCATCATGACAAAGACTCAGATAGATAGACCATGCGGTGTATGTTTAGTCACATCACATGGTAAGTGGTGTGGTCTGATTCTTACAACTTAGCCCAAAAACACGTACTAAACTAGACTGGCCTAAATATTTTCTTGATATTAATGTTGCTAGCCCCAAAAAAATATGTGACATGTTTCACGTGGTGCTGGAGAAAAGAATGCGGGGCCTTGCACGATATGCAAATTGATTTGAGAGAACGAAAGATGGATACAAAAGGGAAAGCAAATTACTATGCCTTTTTTTTCCCAACATTAGTACGAGGGATGGATATAAAAGGGAAAGCAAATCCAACCATTTATTGGCTACTCACCGTCCAAATTCAACATTTGCACGAGGAATGTGATTTAAAAAGTGAAGAGGGTCAGAGAAATTTAAATTCATAATTTTTTGAGTTTTGAATTTTCAATCTTAACTATTAGACAAAAATCTCCTCAACTAATTAAACAAAAACTCGTGAAACTATGAAAATATAGAGAAGAGAGTATAGAAGGTGAGACCAATCCCAAAATTACTGTTCCAGATTTTCTACACTGCTAAAATTATACTACAAATTCAATAATTTATATGTGAATAATATGATTAAATTGGTCAGAAACGCCAGGCTATGAATAATGGAAATGTTAAATGTGCGGCAAAAAGAATTTTAAGTTCTCCTAACTTGTAAGAAAGACAAATTTAAGGAAGACTTATTCATGATATATAAATGCGTGGTGATCTTTTATGAAATTCAATCCTATAAAAAATGACCCACTTGAGCATCATTGCTTTTTTTTTTGTCATGCTCGTGATATTCCTTCAAAATTCAACCCTAAGACATAAGGATAAGCTTTTCAGTGTACAAAATATATAAGATTCATAAATGTAACATGACTATATATGCGCAAATGAATCAGAAAATGAATTTCATTTGTGCTTCCTCTTTTTTTCTCTCTTTTTTATTATAAAAGGAAACATCGACTGGTTTTAGTATTACTTTGGGTACAAAGTACAAACAAAAAGTTTAGGGTTAAAAAGTTTCAATTAAAACTTGAGAGACTTCATGAGACTTTCAAAATGGTTCAGTGACTAAAGAGTTTAAATAATATTTGAAGGACCTCTATAAGATTTTAATTAATTAGGGACTAAACCTTCAAGTTGCTCTAACAAAGCTCTTGCAATTGATTTTCTGAAATCTCAAGTAACAAAATATCGTAAATAGAATTTTCATTTGAAAATATGGATAATTTAAGAAACCTTCCTGAGGTTTCTGGCAGTTTCATTTGGCACCTCAAACTTTAAAAAAATCTCACTTGCCTCCCTTACTTTAATCTTTTCGTATCATTTACAACCCATTTTAAAATATAATAGTAAAAAATTTATTTGAGAGAGTGAATATAATCTCATTCCAAATTTTTCCTTTTATTGTTTTACTTTTTATTACAAACACGTGAGCGTATTAATAATAAATGAAAAACAGAAACAAAAAGTATTCAGGTTTATTATAATTAGATAATATATTGTAAATCAACAGTGAATTTTGTTTTCTTAAGGGGAACAACTGGTAAATTTGTCTTCTTGCTAGACCTAACCTACTCATAGTATTTCATTGTCAACGTATTTAATCCTTTATTTCTTCCGAACAATTATCCCTATTCCAATTTTGATATTTTACACTTTAAGTTTAAAGTTTCCAGCATAACTCAATTATTTTGAAGTTACTGAAATTCAGATGCACTGATTTCCATTTATTAGAATCCAATTCTGTAGGATGTGATATGTTATATTTGTTTATTCATTGTAGTTGAAAAGATAGCAATTTCGCCCCATTCTAGGCGACCAATTATTTGAGAAAATTATTGCAATATTGCATCCTTCTTATGTTATTCTTTATGGTTTTTGGATTAGTTTAACGTTATAGTACACGCTTTGGATAATGTTATCGACAGACCATTTTCAGCTTCTTACATAGCCTCGATTATATGGCTACCAAATTCATTGCAGCCGGAGGCTTTTAATTCTTACATTTTGCTACTAAGACTTCTGGAATTTTAAGGTGTAGGAGTAATAGTTATGGATGAAAGTCCAAACCTAAGTACTGAGTTGATTTATGTAGTGCCTATTGATTTGATTTGATTTGTCTCCTTCCCCTTTGGTTAAAGATCATTATATATAATTACATCCAAACAGATAAAAGTATTTCCAAACTAGTTTGGTCCAGAACCTATTTGTTACTCTTGCTTCTGTTTTAATACCTAGTTCTATAAGTTACTGTACTTTGACTCAATTGCAATTATTGAGAAGGCTTTAAACCTCTATATCTAGATAAAAATAAGAATATTCATTAAAAAAAATAACAATTAGAGCACGCACTTGGAATTGGAGATGGAAAAAGTTAAAAGAAAAGGGTGAAAAGGAAAAGAAAAAAAAAGACCACTGAACAGATCATGAGAAAGAAAAAGAATTTTCAAGTTGACGTTGTTGTTTGATATTTTTGTCCCATAGAGATATAATCTGCATTTTCTTCCTCAATCGTGTGAATTTCAGCGATTGAATTTACGAATAGCCAAAAGATGGCACGAGTTTATTTCAAAAGTTTGTTTGTGTCGGAAAGCTTTTTGGTAGATGGATTTATAACCCAATTGTAACTTTTAACTCACCAAAACCAACAGTGCAAATTTTGCTAGCTGTGTCTTGTTCTTCAATAATGTCCATTCAAGGAAAAGGAGAAGAAATGTTAACTAATGTGAAAATTGGAAAGCTTAGGTTATTCATTGGAACGAGGGTGTAAATTATTTATTGGCTTTTTTTAACGGATACCCAATAGACACTCGCTAAAACACTTAAATTTCATTCAACTTACCATGTGTATGCTCATAATAATAATTACTACCCTCCCTTATATCTATACACATTCTTTGATTAGTCTTACTAATATAAAAATTTAACACCCGAAAATATATTTTAACGAGTACCCAATGTCGATAAGCAACCATTAGATAGGCCCTTATTTATTTTACCGTGCAATCTTTTCCAAAGTCTGATATTATTTCTTTCCCTTTTGTTAGTCTTTTTACTAATGTGTTTCTGGCTGGAGGTTATATCTTTTGTTTTTATAATATCTAGGACTAAATGTTGGATTGGAGAATAAATGTTCGTGGGTTTATTTTATTT